GGTAGATGAGGCAGGTGGGAAGACAGACGCTTCATGCAGATGGTGGCCACAAATTACGTAAGTACAAAATTATTTTTTACGTTAAACTTGTATTTCAGGTAAAGTTAGCACGCGCGGACTGTGCGACCAGGAGTCGAACCCCTGCCGTTTTATCGGAGATATCTCGATTATAGAAGGCCAAACCACATCACTGGTCGACTTGCTCTACTTCGCAATTGAGGTGTCGTGTGTGCTTTTCGCTTGGGAAACGAAAGACCGTCAGGACAAAGTACGTGAAGTGCGAAATCGAACTCTGCATTTCCGGATTTTTTTGAGAATTCCACACGAAGGCAACATTCCGGCAGATGACGCAGGTGGGAAGACAGACACTCCATGCAGATGGTGTCCAAAAATTATATAAGTAGGACATTATTTTCTACCTTAAAAATGTATTTCAAATAACGTCCACACGCGCGGACTTTGCGACACCACATGGCGTCATTCGTACCGCTGCCTTTATATCTGCGACGACATACGGTGTCTTTAGTCGTTTAAAGGTTAAAATGTTCTAAATTAAGCAGTCTATATTTTCGAGAAGTGTTAAACCAAAATTGCACCACCTGAAACTATGTAAATCCAGAAATGGTTGCAGAGATATGGGCCTTTCCTCATGCAGTACTGGTTCCCACACCAAGTCACAAAAGCACTCTTGAGTTACCTGGATAATCTGGTCTCTGTGACTCCTCGAGAAGTGTCAGCAGAATGGCATATGCACCAGATCGCCATGCTGGAAGATATTGCTTATTCCTCCGAACATGTGTCTGCAGAAATAAAAGCAATATCAACAGTTGAAATTTAAACCTATAAAGGGAATTCGTGAACTCAGTGTTGCAGAGTTGGTATCAGTCTAAATTAACCTGACATGAAGGCCTCTCTCTGAACAACATGGCGCTACAAACCAGAACATCACACTTAAAGTGACAGGATATTAAAATTGTAAACATTCTACTTCATGCATGCCAAACTTAAACTTCACTCTGCTTTTGGATCCTGTAAAACAGTGAAAAATTTTCTTTTAAAAATATGCAATGGAAAGTAAAGTTTACAAACATGAAACACTTGTATCCATAGATATAATGGGCACTTCAGAAAATATAAGAACTACAAATTTAAGAAATGTTTTCATTCCAGTGCCATAATATTCTTCTAGCTTACACTGATGTCTGATTTCTCCTTCTTCCCTGGCTTACTCTGACTGCTGTTGCAAGCTATTGGGCTGGTAGTCACATGGGTACCCATGCCATTGCACTTCTCATCTGTTCCTGTTAGCACAAGATGACAACTGCCACTTCATTACTTTCACTGAAAACATCTGTAAGCTGTCTTTTATCAACAAAACAAGACATAGAACATTTTCAGAGGAGACTAAAAACAGTTAAATAATATGAAATGGAGCAAACCTTTTGGATGAGTTCTCCTGTATTCAGCAAGTTTGCTGTCCAACATGACACATATTCTGTTTCCGAAATAATCTAGAACTCCACAGTCTCTGCCACTCTTCAGTGGAAGGGGATATTTCCTCAATGAGGACAGCGCCCTTCCGAAACAGTACTGCAGATCTGAATTTTTAGAAACGGCTTCATTCTTCCACTCTTCTAGCCATTTTTCAAACAACGGATTTGGAGGTTTCTTGGGTTTCACCGTTACTCGCTTCTTTCTATTCTTGGACACTTTCGTATCCATTATTTACAGCAAAGTTCGGGTCTTGTGTTGGTAACCTAACCTCCAAATTCCTGCTAAATTAATATTTCATGTAGGTATAGTTCAAATAAGATACTTTGGTATCCATTACTTGTAGAGGTTAGAATCTGCGCTTATAACCTATATCTCAAAATTCCTGCTGAATACACATTTAAATTGATATTGAAAAAAAAACATACACACAAGAAACACGAAATAAAGTGGTGCGAAAAACAAAATCAATTGTGATACTCTGAGTGTTCAGCTAGATGGTGACATAAAAATTAATGTCAATCAGCAAACTCAACAAACATATATTTCTATGAATACAAATTTTATATAAGATTTGAGGCTTTCACGGCGGTGACTATGAAGAAAGCAGTCTTCTGGGATTTGGCACCATGTATATGTGGTGTGCAATCACATAGCTGTGTATATTTCCAACACCAGTCTGCTTTTACCGGTTCTCACGGTCTCTTCGCTTGCGGATTTCTTATATTTTTTCCTTCTACCCTGAAGATGGGGGCGATACGTTCCTCCGAAACGTCGGTTAACACCACATATACACGGTGCCAAATCCCAGAAGACTGCTTTCTTCTACAAATTTTATACTTACAAAAGATGTTTGTTGAAATGTACATAACTAATATGATGTATACTAATACGCCACTGTCTTTTCTAACAAGTAGGCACTACTTACAGATTGTTTCACATGTTCTTCATTACACGTGACAGTTTAATTCATGCATACGAATAATTTTAAACTTGTATATCGTTTGATTATAACATTCAAGTTTCGATGTCATGGCGGTCATGGCAATAACCTGTAAATAGTTTAAATTTGATTGGATCATACAGCGACATGCGTGTTGTGAAACTGTATGGCGGACAATTTGATTCACAGGCCATGTTATTCTGTCTACTATCGTGCACAAATTTATAATCATACATAACTGTATGATGAGTATCATGAACATTTTTTTTGTCATAAAAGTCCCGAATTCTTTGTGCCTATCATTAAAAATAAAACATTGAAATTGCATTTCAGTGGAGCCTAGCTCCAACTTCTTAAAACTAGGGCTGAGGTATGTTTTGAAGTACTGGCATTGTTAATAAAAGTTAACGAGAACTGCCTGATATATTAAGAACATATGATTTCCTTCAATTTATGTCTGTGTACATTTTTTTCTCAGAATACTTAGTATTGGTCAGATTTGGTGCTGAAGCATCTCGAGATGTTCTAGCATAGGCACATCCAACTTCAAACAGGTTGTGATTGACATTTTATTGTCAAAACTGCCAGTGATCTACCACCCCCTCCTATCATAGTACCTCGCTTTAAGCAAAAATATTGGTTAAAATAACACGACACATGATGTTTGTTGCAAAAGCAACATACATTGAAAGTACAGACTACCTTGTTCTTTAGTGAGACGTCTGGGTCTGCATTTCATCCACCAGCTGCTGGAAGTCATGTGAGTATTGGGTGAGGGCCAGTTTCAGGCAATCCTGGAGATGGTCATCTGTCATGTTGGAATGTTGTTCACTCTTTGTCATTTTTAGGTAAGAAAATGCAGATTCACACAAATAAGTTGGACCAAAACAGGAGTGTACAATTTAAGTTGGGAAATTTGTGTCTAAACACTAACTTCCAAAACGTTTCTTGTCGAGCACAAGTCTTGAGAAAAATGTCATTTTTAAGGGTTAATATCTCATTTTCAAGAGATGCCTTGATCAGTGGGCAATTCTCACAGAGAGTAGCTGCAGTTTCTCTAATGTTTAAATCTGATTTGAATGGGAATTACAAGAACTCTACAACTGTTCTAATTTTTTGGAAGTCACAGAATCTATTTCTGAAATCGTGGATAAGAGAACAGATTTTGGTCACGTACTTCATTGTCTGAAAAACAATATTAGATTTTTCCAGATTGTCCTGCATATTAGGAAAGTGATCAAAAGTATTGTTTGTAAGGTCAGTCATCATTAGCTCAAATTTGCTTTTCTAGGACGAAACTGTATTCATCACTTCCCCACAGTTCACTTATCACAAATTTAAAGCAATTTTCACATAAGCTACATAAGAACAGAAAAATAGGAATGACTAATATGTATTTTCCCTTGAAAATCTGAATATAATCATATTATACATTATATGTATTACAAGTGAATTTACACGCTTTTCACGTATAGTATTATTACAGGCCTATGAGATCGACCAAAAATCGTCCCGTGATCGACATGCCTGTTATAGAAGATCCAAATTAAGAAACTGGTGTACTGTATGCTGCAAAGTGATTGAAAAATGTCAAAAACATGCAAGTCGTAAGACTGGCCTGCAGTAAATAAATCGGACGTTGTACAACCCTTGGCCAGTCACTATACTGACTGAGCTATCCTGGCTTTATAGAGTTCTGCGTCCTGGGATATAAAACCGTCTAGTTCACTAAAAATCCACCAACATTTAGGAGGAACATTTCGCCTCCATCTTCAGGGTTGAAGAGTAACATGGTGTTATATCCAGAAATATAGAATTCATCACAGAAGATACACCATCTGCAGTGCTTGGTTTCGGGCACAAAAGCTGCAGAACCAAGTTTCTGCGCACCCCAACAGAGACCTATGTACATGCACCACTGCGGTAAGCTGCACACAAGGTACCTCCGCCTGGGGGTTGGAAAGTGATGTGGAGAGCAGCAGCCGTCCCTGCCTCGTGACAAGGCTAAGAATGGGTAGAGCTCAAACTTCATGCCACCATATGCCTTAGGCAATATTGCTTACTTAAGCAGAGGCATATAACCTTACCATAGCTCAGTTGGCAAAGCAACCAGGCTACAGGCTGGAGTTCGGTTCCACGGCAGGGAACGGGTTCTTCTCTACTCCTCAGCATCCTGACCGGCTCTGGGGCCTAGCCAACCTCCCATCCAGTGGAGGTAAAACTGCCATGGCATGAAGCTGACCACTAACCTCCATGCAGTACCCAGGTCAAGAATGCATGGACCTATACATCATCCACTCCTCCATATGGCTTCATGGCATAGTACTTTACTTTTCTTTACTGAATAACAATATCAGGTGACTGTGCACCTAGACACAGTGGGGAGAGGAGGTATAGTTCCCTATGCACTCAGCTTCACAACCAGGCCTGTTTCACCATGTGTGTGCCTAATTAAGCAGTGACTCTACCTTTCTCATGTGGCATGCAGCAGTTCACCGAGTTGTTGGTACCTGGCTCGTAATAGTCACTGTGTAATGAGATGCATGAGATTTGGGGTTCTCATGCCAGTGATGGTCTTCTTGGATGTGATGTCACATAATTTTTCATTGCCATCAGCATCTGCACTACATAACATTGAAATGGAAAACCAATGAATAAGGAATTGCAAAGGATTTGGAAAAAGGTGGCCATGGGCTATTCAAAGTACTGTCCTGGCATTTGCCTAGAAGGGGTGAGGAAAACCATGAAAAGCCTGACAGAATAGTCTTTTGTCATGTGATACAGCACAGACTGGCAGGATTATACTGATGTTTCAAAGGAATACACTGCCTCCATCTTCAGAGTCATGAGTAAGCTGAGATTAATGTGTGAAGACAGATATCAGGGGATGGAAATTCTGATGATGTCAGTAAATGTCACTGCTGCATGAGATTACAGGGAGGAGTCTGTCTGCTCATATCAGCTGCCCTCCCAATCAGGAATGTTTCTACACACAAAGGGGAAATAGTAGGAAATAAGTTTTGCTATGACGCTAGTCCATGTGACAGCCAAGACAGCTTTGTCTACCTGTTTACTGTCACCAGCCACAGTTACCAGTCTGCAATAGTACTCCTACCATGTGCACACAGCTTGTTTTAATTTTCCTTAAAAATTATAATCACATGAACATGTACTTCTGATGTACCCTTAAAGGGTTCAACGGTCATGGTTTCGGGATTACTAGAACAGAAGCTTACAAAAGATATAAACACATGCCACACAGAGAATTTCCTTGGATGTTGAGGATGGCAGCATGCCAGGCTAGCTCTTTCAGCCACCTCTGGCCCAAGCACCTGTTGCTACCCATGGCTGGTGACCAGACAACCTGACAGTATGAAGCAGCACAATGAGAGATGTGGAGGAGTCAATCCATGAGACATCTTTCTGTGGCCTTGGTACAGCATAAAAAGAAAACCACACACTCACCATTGCTCAATCTACATTGTATTTACATCAAACAGAACTTCACACTTACATTCTTTCTCCTGTAAACACCCCCACACGTGACAAATGTGACACAACATTCATCACATATCCATCTGAAGAAAATTTGATTTAAAAAATTTGTACTTTCATACCTTTAATTCATTGACATATTTCAATATAGGCACAACTTCTTACATACAGAATCACTGCAATTTTATGCTGGACAAAGCACATTAGCGTCACCTCAACATATCACGTGTTCCAGTACAATAAACAGAGCTACATAAAATATTATTTTATTAAAAAAGAAATATAAGAATACTGGGCTGCCCTAAACTGCAACTTCAGAACTGAGCCTGTGGCCATACACACCTCTCCACCATCACATACATAAAGGCTATACCATCCTCTGGGACTCGACACCATGTAGTTTCATAGACTCATACCAGTATTTTGGAGGACCACACTGCCGCATCAGCAACGGAAACTGAGGCATACTGTACATCAATGTCTGAACACTAGTAATATTACATAATAAACTGGACGGCAGACATGAGGGTTTAGTGGATGAGAGCTCTAATTCATGACACAAATTTACAAGATATACAAAGTACGTACACAAACATATAGATATGTCTGTACTAACAGACCAATGAACAATGCAGTGGGAAAAACTATTCAAAATGGATGAATTTGCTAGATATTAGGTGGTAACTATGGAGAGCAGTCTTCTGAAATATGTCTCTATATAGAGTTACCGCCTCTATGGTCTAGTGGTCAGTGTTCCTGGCTACAGATTCAGAGATCTGGGTTAGATTCCCGGCGCTACCAGATTTTTTCTGAGTAGTGGGTCTGGGGTCTGGAATGGGGTCCACTCAGCCTCGTGATAACTGAGGAGCTATTTCAAGGAAATAGTGGCTCCGGTCTAGAAAACCAACATTAACGGCCATGGATATTCGTTGCCCTGACCACGCAACACCATCTATAAGCAAAAGTTGGCATTAAACTTCGGCAACAAGTGGGGGTCACTCGGTTGGTATAGTTCACTTGCGGACTAAAATCACAGAGTTATAGAATAGTATACATCATTAGTAACATTTCAGAGGAAATGTAAATTCCATCTTCATGGTTGAAGGAGACTCCACTGAGAATGCAGTATACAGTAGAAAACTTACTGACATGAGCTGGTAGCGGTTGGCTGTCATGATGAACACAGTGAATTATGTGTGCCCTGTGTAAAAACTGAACTGATTACAGACCTGCGAAGTGTTCCTGAGTTTTTGTTCTGTGTACTGCGGTATGACAAGCTGTGTACAGGTATACATGCCTCCACATCTTCACAGCATCAGGTTAATGCACACAGAAATCAGTTGTCTTACTGGTCACTGGAACATGGTCAATCACAAGGAGTAACCTACGTCAGCTGAGACACAGAACTGCTGCTCCAGACTAGCAGCCAGATTTTCACTTGAGGATAATCATATTTACATGGCAGAAAGTGTGATGCACAGACAGCTGGATCAGAGCATATGCTGCCACAACAGTGAGACACCCAGACAACAAAAAGCCAATGTCATTTTACTGTTTTTTTAATTACTGATGACTCCGAACATTCAGAAACATGATCTGTACTATGCTGTGGTATGTTATGACTGTAGTCAGAGAGTCAACGTGTAGCTGCACGTTATCACAGACCTGTTGAAACAGTACAATATGACACTTTTAGTCCATGTTCTGATCCAGTGCATTCTTGGTCCAGTACAATATGACACTTTTAGTCCATGTTCTGATCCAGTGCATTCTTGGTCCAAATTCATACAGATTAACAACCAGACACAAGCTGAAGATGGTGCAGTAACACACTGTCACACAACGAACCACGAAACAATCGCTGTGGCCCGACAAGCAGGGGGCACCAAGTACATAAATGATTATAGCTAAAATTAATATAATTCTAAATGTAAAAATTTAGCATTGGAAAAATACATAAAAAAGTTTCTTAAAATACTGGTTATATACAGGGTGTCCCAGGAGGAATATGCCAGACTTCGGGAGGGTGTTCCTTATGTTAAAGTATGCTGATATAACCCAAAACACCTATGTCCAAAGTTGAACAGTTATGGAGATAATGGCCCAAGAAAAGTGTGGTCTTCTGCCAGGTCCACGCACTGTACCCGTCAGCTGACAAGTCGTATTGATGTTTGTCCTTGAGTGTGGTGATGACGGCTCACGCTATCCGTAAGCTTAAGCTTATACCAGAATGCGTAGTCAGCCATGTTATGTCAGTGCTTGCCATTCATGTATCATGTATAGTGCTTGGAACCCTAAGGACAAGTATGACATGGCATGCAAGTTTTATTTTTTAGTTCAATTTAATGACTGCATGTCACTCACAAGTTAGTCTGACGATATGTACATTATTAACATTACAAAAACCACATATTCCTGCCAGTTTTAATATGTATTTGGCAATCAACAAGTGTGTAACACCTGTCAAAGTTTCACACTTCTCTGGCCATTATCTCTGTAACCGTTCAACTTTGGACATAGGTGTTTTGGGTTATATTGGCATACTTTAACATAAGGAACACCCTCCTGAAGTCTGGCACATTCCTCCTGGGACACCCTGTATATATATATATATATATATACTCACACACTTATATACTAGGTGGTTCAAATATGACCGGGACTGATTTCTTTGTAAACAAGCCGCACTGCGCAGCAGCTGTGCGACCTTGAGAGATTGTAGCCACAACCTCCACTCTCCCTCCTGTTAGGGTTAGAACCTGTTCAGTGTTGTCTGGGAGTTGCTAGAGGGATGAGCATACAGAAGGTACCGCGGAGCGCGGAACAACACATTGTGATCAAATTCCTCGTTGGAGAAAACGTCCCATCAGCTGAAATTCACCACAGACTCCAAGAACAGTATGGGGAAGAGTCTCTCACAGACCCGTGTGTTTGAGTGGCGTAAGTGCTTCAGAGAGGGCAGAGAGCGCGTGGAGAATGAACCGCATGATCGTTAGCCGCAAACATCCATCACCAAGCCAAACATTTATCATGCAGACGCACTTATTCGTGAGAATAGGCACATCACTATCAAGGAACTTGGAGCAATGCTGTCCATCAGTGTTGGTAGTGTAGAAGACATTGTGAAATACCACCTGCACTATCGCAAGGTGAATGCACAGTGGGTACCACACACTTTGACAAACGTGAACAAAATGGTGGGTATGCAAGTTGCCAGTCATCTCCTACAGCAGTTTGAAGATGAAGGTGATGCATTTTTTAAGTCTATAGTGACCACCGATGAAATGTGGATGCACTACTTCATTCCCAAGTCCCAGCAGTCATCACGTGAGTGGCGGCATACCAGTTCTCCCAAAACCAAGAGAGCGCGGAGGAGCTGTTCAGCAGGAAAAGTGATGGCAACGTTCTTCTGGGACTGGCAGGGGGTTATCCATGTAGACTTTCTGACAGATGCCAGAACAGTCAATGCAGCTTATTACTCAGACCTCCTGGCAACAGACACGAAGGAAAGATCCGATCCAAGCGGAAGACAGGTGGAAAGCAGGTAGCCTTCCTTCAAGACAATGCACGCCCCCATACGGCCAAAAGAACGATGGAAACCCTTTGGAAATTGAAATGGAACCTTCTGACACATCCGCCGTACAGTCCCGATTTGGCACCAAGTTATTTCTACCTGTTCAGAAGGCAAAAATCAGACTTGCAAGGCATGCGGTTTGTGGACGACACCGTCATCCAGAATGTTCGGGAGTGGATACGCCGCCAACCACAAGACTTTTTGAAAAGGGCATCAGGATGCTTCCAGAACGTTGGAAAAAATGTGATGACTCCGGAGGGGAGTACGTTGAAGACTGACATGTGCAAGTAAGTGTTTGGCAATTATGTTTTTCTTTTTAAAAATCAGTCCCGGTCATATTTGAACCACCTTGTATATATGCACAACTGTGGGAATTCAACCTATGGCAGCACCACAGGATTCTGCATCAAATTGCCTGCAATGCAGTTAGTATAATCATCACCTATACCTGTACTGATGTGAGGTGCATTTTGGGGGGCCCATTAAGGGCATGTCATGTCACTTGGATTAAATACCCCAATTACATACACCTACACTGCTGACAGAGCAGAAGAAGATAGAAGTGATGCTGCTTGCATGGTACAAGGCAGCCCTGTTTAGCTCAGTGTAGCTACGTTTCATCACTGACCCTCAGAGTGTATGTGAGGGCCGAGTCCGAGCATACTATCACCCTCAGGAGCCCATCATTCACTCTGCCACACCTACAACAGAAACCAGAACATTTCAGTTACAGTTTCTTTGCATGGTACTTATATTTACCATTACATTCCAAAGGGTCAGCATTAGCTTTATGGAAACTTGAGACAGTGCTCTGATACAAGCCATGGATATTCATTTAAGGTATATTAAAATTATTTTTGCCCATGTACATTTAATTCAGCAGGGCATGATAGAGAAGTGGATACAGAGTTTTGGGTGGTAAACCTGAAGGAAAGAGACAAGTAGGAAGACCTAGATGGGAGAATAATATTAAAACTATCTTAGAGAACATCACAAGGGGGATGGGCTGAAGGGATCTTGCTAAGGATAGACACCAGTGGCGGGCTCTTGTGAATGTAGTGGTGAACTGTCAAGATGCCATAAAATTCTGGGAACTTCTTGAGTGGCTGAGCAACTGTTGGCTTCTCAAGGACTTGGTTGCAGGGAATCAGCTGGATTCAGTAACTAACCCACATTAATGCAACAGATGTTTTACATTCCACAATCTGTAACTAGATTTTATGTGACTGCTCAGAACAGCAATCAATATGCAAGCTTTATCTCTGCTGCAAGTTACAAGCATGCAGATGCATAATCTCTGGCAAATGGTCACATGCAGAACTTGCCCCGAGCCACACTGAGGTTATTCAAGTGTTCATTTCCTACTCATTATGTTATAAACTAGTCTGATGCTAATCCATTACCTACTAGCATCTATCTGTGTAGAAACAGCTTCTTTTAACTTATGTAAGGAACTTAATGTATCCCTGTTTTATTGAGCAAGGAGGAGAAGCAGAAGTAATTTAAGATCTAAAGTTTGTAATGATACTACATCAACAGAAATATTTTATTTCTGGACATTATCCATCGCCCTGTTATTTGCCTACAAACATAGGCCTGTTTTTATTTAAAACACAGCATTCCAGAAACTGGATTCGGTCTCCGTCTTCAGGTAAAATCTTCTCAGTTGGGCCCAAACAACAGAGCTAGTCCCCCTCTCTTGGCACCTGCATCAACACCAGACAGGTTATACAAGGCAAACAATAGAGCTAGTCCCCCTCTCTTGGCACCTGCACTGAACACCAGACAGGGTATACAAGCCAAACAATAGAGCTAGTCCCCCTCTCTTGGCACCTGCACTGAACACCAGACAGGGTATACAAGCCAAACAATAGAGCTAGTCTCCCTTTCTTGGCACCTGCATCAACATCAGACAGGGTATACAAGCCAAACAATAGAGCTAGTCCCCCTCTCTTGGCACCTGCACCAACACCAGGCAGGGTATACAAGCCAAACAATAGAGCTAATCCCCCTCTCTTTGCACCTGCACACACGTATGAGGCATTGAATCAGAGAAGTATCACAAGTCATCACTGGTGAGACAAATTCTCCATACGGTACGGTTCAATCTACAAGACCTTTGCTTGATTCCAACAAACTTTATGGCCTTTTTTGTATAAATGTTGGGCTAACTTTGATATTTCAAGCAAACCTTATGTCAGGTTACATTTGTGCTCATTAATGCATACTTCCAAAGATGTCCAGCAGATAAAGTATTGTGTGCACAACATCCCACATGACTGTGGCAGATGTGACATTGGCAAAACAAGCAGACCTTTGTAAGTATGCATGAAGGAGCATAAATACAACCTGAGACAAGATCTTGAAAAACCAAAGTTGGCCCAACATGCATATGAGGATGACCACAAAATATGTTGGAATGAAGCAAAGGTCTTTGCAGATTGAACCAAACTTCACATACAAGAAATACAAGGAACCCACCCACATGTCTCTGATAGATCATCTCATCAGTCAACCCAGCTTGGACAGCTACACTCCCATCTGGACGCCTGTTATCACAGCAGAAATAATAATAATAATAATAATAATAATAATAATAAACTCCATCCAGTGTAGACAGAGTAGAAAATGTGTTTTCTTTGTATGGAGAATGTGTCTCTCCAATGATGACTTCTATTGTAACAGTTCTCCGGTTCAAGGAATCATACATGTGTTTTTAGTATTTTAATGTTCTGTCTTAACTCTGACAGATGGTTTGTGCTGTGTTTGGCTTGTATACCCTGTCTGGTGTTGGTGCACGTGTCCAGAGATGGGGACTAGCTCTACTGTTTGGGCCCAGCTGATAAGGTTTTACCTTAAGATGAAGACAGAATCAAGTCTCTGAAATGATGTGTTCTTAAATAGAAAGAGGATGATGGATAATGTCCAGAAACATAACATTTGTACAAGCAGTATCTAGATGCAGTTCTGCACAGTCCCCATGCAGTGTAAGAGGAGCCATTCTCACTGCACAGGGACTTGACACCATGGATTCTAAGGCAAGGAATACACATTAAATATATTACTCACTGCAGGCCTCTCGCTCTGATCCGCTGTTCCACTGCATTGCGGATGCGTGGAATGCCATCCTGACTGTGTGCTCCCCGGCCAGTGATGGCATATAAGGCACGTCTCCCAGGCCCTTGTCCACTGAGGCCCACGATGTGTCGATCCACAAATATATCAAAGGCCTGCAGGGCTTCTCTCACCCGGTAATTGTGCAGGTCGAGTGTATTATCATTCTGGCACACCGTATTTATATACTCCAGGCAAGAGACAGCTCGGGCATTCGCTTCATCCATAAGCATCGTATATAAGGTGGCCTAAATGGACACAAATATACATGTGATGGCATCTGAGGTTTTCATGGCGATGACTACGAAGATAACTTCCTTCTGGTATGTCTGGTAGATGTTCACAAATATTTCAGAGGAATTTGTTACATCCATTTCCTGCCCTGAAGGTGGAGGCACGAGATATCTAAAAAATATTGACAATTCTCAGAAGGCAGTAATCTTCATATACCATCATCGCCACTGTCATCATCAAATGAAAACCATCCCTATCTGAGCCCTAGCCTTCCTGAGAATGTTCTGCCAGATTTGATCTCATTTTCATTTCTTTTTATTTTTCAACAGTACTTTTTTTTTTACAGAGCAAGGTCACCAGCTTTGCATCGAACCTGCAACCTGGAGGAATCTTTGTAAATCACATTGCTAAGTTCTTACAAATGCATGGAGCATGAAACATGACTCAGATGCATATTTGTTACCTAATATCACTGTCTGAATGTCTCTTCAGTCATTTACTGACTTTTCACAATGACTCGGACTATGGAGCATCGAATGGCAGGAACAAACACACCTACAACTACAACACTGATAAGCAAAATGCACTCTCTGATCAAGGAAAGGCCACACAAGTGCAAATGCTGCCATCAGTCTGGACTAAGGAAATCCATGAAAACCTTTCAGAATAAACAACCACCAGGTCAACATCCTGAGTGTCATACAATGCACAAAAAGATTTGGTGACCTAGCTGCGTTACCACTCCACACGATAAGTCCTAATCGATTCAAGAATTTAAAATTCACTCACTAGTTTGGAGTAGAATGTTGCAACAGTTGTCATCTTCTTCCTAGAATATTCTCCTCCACACCTGTGATGCTTCTCGCGCAGCTTGCGAAAACAGACCGTCCAATCACGGTAGCGATGGTAGTCCTTTTCAACCCAGTCCACTGACCTCACAGCTTCACCCTTTGCCACTCCTGGCCGTAATTCTGAGGTCCCAGCCTGAAAAATACAAAATCAAGGAATCATATTATTTATTACTGTGTTGGAAATCAAGGTTTTCTTTTAAAATACATGTGTATTAATTTTAAGTTCACAAGAATGTAACTGCATGCAATGTGCAATGGAAACTGGAAGCAGGCGGACAAGTGTACATAAAGCGTACCCTGCTAATCTGGCCCATCTTGAACTGCTCCTCACTGGCCTGATCCAAGAGATAACGCCCACGTTTTACAAGAGTCTCAGGTGATGAGACTGTTTGACCTCGTTTCCCCAGGGCACACTGCATCTGTGCATTAATATTTTCTATAGCCTTCTCCAACGAATTCCCATTTGCAGTTAACACTGCCTGCAGCATGTCCGTGTCGATGTCTGGGAACATGTGACACAAATTGCTCTTGTCCATCAATGCATCTGGGTCTTCCTTCATGCGTTGCAACTCGACCTGCAGCAGGTAACCATAGCAACATACATTCTCTACATGTTCCTGATAGTGATTGATTCATTATATGAACACCAACTTAAACACAGAAGAACAATATGAACCAAGTGAAGCTGTTATCAAGAGAAAGAGAAATAATTTCAGCAAATGCTGCCCAGAACAACACATTCTGTTGCCAACACGTAACATCATCTTATCAGTGCCCTCCAGACACAACTTGTCCTGTTCTGACAGTCGGTGCCTGAATTCCCGCTCATGCTGAAAACCAACACTAACAGACACTTCTTCATTTTCATTAGTATTTATTATTTACCGGGACAGCTCAGTTGGTATAGTGACTGGTTATGGACTGGATGGCCAAGGAGTCAGAGTTCGAGCCCTGGGAGGGACAAGATGCTTCTCCCTTCCATGTTTTCCAGACCAGTTCTAGGGCCCACCAAGCCCCCTATCCAACAGGTACTATCTAGAGCTGAGGTCAAGACTACACAGATCCAGACATCCACTCTCCATATGTCTTCATGGCAGGGACAGCTTTACCTTTTACCTTTCATGCGTACAAAGTTTCAGGTGCATATGGGCCATGCTGGGCACTGTCCATTAGTATGTCTGACATACACAGCACTGTGTGTACACCACTCACTGTCTCGTCAGCTCTACTCAAGCGGGTCCATTAACATTAGCTTGCCTCAGTCCCTGGACCCCACTGAGCAGGCTGTCCCTTCTCTCGCACACAGGGATACAAATAGACCCAGTTCCCCAGACACTGGGCACTCCACCACAAGATCTGAAAGTGAGTGACTGGTACATCAATACAATTATTGAGTTTTTGGACATTATTCATTATTCTGTTTTTTAGGATAGGGACTAGCTCTATTGTAGGCTTTTGTACCTGAGGGTGGAAGCAAAGTCCAGTCTTTGAAACGTTCCTTTAAACAAAAAAATATGATAGTGGATAATGTCCAAATAGTCAATAACTATACTATCATCTAGGCTCAAACGCTATGTGATTTGGACATGAGCTTCCTCCATGATTCTCTTGGTTTCATGCTTGGCTTTAAAACCTGGAACACATTATTCGGACAGATATTTGCAGTTAACTAAACACATGTTGATGCATAACAGTCGAAGGTGCCAAGAACTTGACAATCTTCAAGCAAGAATGTGGACATGTGACGGCAGGTACCTGATAACTTTTGAAGATGGCCAGAGCCATTTCCATATCATTGGCCTCCTCCTGGCTTACGCTCTCAGTGCCGCCATCCATCTGCAGCATCAGACTCACTTGCTGAGCTAACTCCTCATCTGTGAACACGCATCACGCAAGTTCCTCACATCCATGTACATAAACAAACAAACATCGCTATCCCAAGCGCCACATCATACAAAAATGCAAACACAGGCAATGTTCCTCTCACAAAAATCTTTATTTTGCTGTCACATGCATGGGTTCGAGTCCAAGTCATTCAGCCTCCTATCCAATGGGTATTGGGAGCTCTTTCCCCGGGGGTTAAGTGTAGGGACATGAAGCTGACCACTCCCCTCCATCCAGTATTTCCCCACGCTTAATCCTCCCACCAGCACTCGAACTCAGACCCCTTGGGTGTCCAGCCCATAGCCTACTGCTATCCTGGCTCACTTCTATGGCTTAATCAGCTGTTCAAACCAACAAATTCTGGGCCATAAGCTTGCTGGGTTGATACTGTAATAAAATAGCGGGGCATATGCCCAAATTTGGAGAGTTCCTACTAGCTTCTTGGATGTAACACCCTGTACAAACACATCACCTCTGTGTTCAGGATTGAAGCTTGGTCTCTGCCTCATGCTGGGTTCTTTGCGTATGCTTCAACCTTGAAAATGGAGGCGACATGTTCCTCCGAAAAGTTGCTTGACTGTCAGCGGACTACAAGGCGCTATATCACAGATGACAATCGACTTGCGAGACTAGGTTTTGTAAAGCGTCGACAACAAGCAGCACAGTTGCCATGTTCAGGCTTGGTGTCTTTCACAAGTCAAAGTCAAAGTCATGTGGCATCTGACGGTCGGTCAGTCTGTCTGTCTTGGTGTCGAGCCCCAGGGATGCGTAGATACAGGAAACTGGTTGCAATGGTTTGCATGAGGTTAAATGTAAGGATGTGTAGATACAGGAAACTGGCTGCAATGGTTTGCATGAGGTTCAATGTAAGGAAGTGTAGATACAGGAAACTGGCTGCAATGGGTTGGATGAGGTTAAATGTAAGGAGGTGGAGATACCAGAAAAT